TTTTTTTCGTTAAAATTTGACAAATGCGCGTTAATCAAAAATACCCTATAACTTTGTCGTTATTATGTTTTGCTCATAAAGTAGGTGACATTTTTGGAACCATAAAACATTGTTTAAAAGGTTTCATGTCAATTCTTTAACATATCTCAACAAATTACATAACATAATCAAATAGAATATTAAAAAACATTTCAATTGATGTAACTATTCCCTATACCTAAATATAATTATTTCAGAAATATTTAACAATTTCTAATATTAATCAAGAAGAGCAAGTATACTCGTATATAGTTTATTATAATAATAAAATAGTATAGTATATAATAATAATAGCAATATAGTATATTATAATGTAGAAGTAAGAATTAAGAAATGCCTGAATGTAAATAGAAGAACATTTATTAATAAATCGGCAACAAAAATTATAAATTAAAATATTGTTGGTTTATTAAATTGTTACAATTACACATTCTTCTTGTTACTAAAATATTTCCTAAAATAATTTTTATATTTTATTGCCTCCAGTGAGCTAGTGAAACTATGGCGCGCCATTTTGGTATTTAAGTTTTTAACGATATCAAGTGATGTAAAAATTAATAAATAGCAAAACGGCGCGTGGAAAATCAAACCAAATTACTATTTAATCCATGGATAATACCTAGGCACATATTTTTGGTATTTAATATGCATGGTAACTTAAATAAATGCAATTATCGAAAAGTATATTTTTTATGTGCAAAATATTATTTTTTAATTCTTATCCTATTGAGTGGTAGGTACATAAAATACGTTAATGCCTTAAAGACTCATGTAATGTTTAATCCTGTTAAAAAGCTGAATATTAAATATTTTTTTACCTTGTGGCTCCACTATTTAATACTCTAAACAAATATTTAATTATTTTTTACCTTAGACGTATAACGAAAAAATGTACCTAACCGAATTTTATAAGAAATATTTACACAATAATTTTTCATTTTAGTTATGAAAAAAAAATAATTTGTACAGCACCTTCACTGATAAATAAATGATTTTATTCGGTCCCAATTACTTTACTCAATACATTTGAAATTAATGTATGCAGCTGTAAAAATAATTTTACACCAATGATTTATTGCAGGAAAATTAATTTTTACGTGACATGTTATGTAAATATTATTTTTTGCCCCACATGTAGTGCATAAATGAATTTTTACATCACATGTAAAGTAAAAATTATTTTTGCGGCCAGTTGGCAATACTTGTTTGAGAAGTAGGCTGAATCTGTCAGAACCTTTCTTTTTTTGTGTTTGCTACACATATGTGGTTTTAGCATAGACCCAGGGTTGCCAACCATACAAATTTAATAAAAATAGTTCGCATTTATATGAAATAGGATTTTCGAAATGCGAATTTTTGTATTTCGTATCTCAATTCGCATCTATATATGAAACAGCTTTAATAGTACTAGATAAAGTAAAAATTAAACCAAGTTGGCAACCCTTGGTGATGGTCCCAAATCTAGGGAATTATTTATTGTAACACAGTAGTACCATCATTCAATGAGGCTAGGCAACAATGAATTTATACATGACATGTGATGTAATAAATCATTTATGCACTACATGTGATGTAAAATAGTATATTAAAGAACTAATGTCATAAGACGTCATTTTGTCGCACGCGGACAATTTATAAAACGAGCGACGAAGGAGCGAGTTTTATAATGGACAAGTGCGACAAAAGGTCTTATGACATGAGTTCTTTATGCTATTTTATCTATTTTGCAAACATTTCATAAAACAAATTAATTTTATACCTTATATTTAATTTGGTTAAATTTTACTTTACATAGTTGGTATCATAGATAACAAAGTTTGAAGTTTGAAAGGTCATTAACCTTTCAAACATTATCACATTCTTTCGCTATGGCGTCGTTAATTTACAATAAGTATTTACAATAAGCGGCTGTTAAAGAAGAAAAAAGGATTTTCTTTGGTGTTAAACAAAATTTATTGCACGAAAAGTCTCGTAAGTACTAGAAAACAAATCATAAAAATATTATAACCTATAGGTATTCAAAATTGTATTTTACCAGTAGCCAACCTAAAAAATCAAAATTTTGGGTGGAATAAAGTACCTCATTAAAGAACCAAAAGCGGTGTTATAATGAAGTCATTATGAAACCAAAATAGATAAAATAATTTTAACATCGCATGTGATGTAAAAATTCATTTATGCACCACATGGGATGGAAAAAAATAATTTTAACATCGCATGTGATGTAAAAATTCATTTATGCACCACATGTGATGAAAAAAATAATTTTTACATCATATATGATGTAAAAATTCATTTATGCACATCATGTGGGGCAAAAAATAATATTTACATCACATCTGTGGGTAAAAGGCATAAGGGGATAAGTCAAAAAAACAATTTTTCAATAGAGCCTTTAACGTGTTCGCATTAATTCAGGAAATATATTTATGTTTAGCGGGTATACGCTTTTGTTAGCTTATGACATGGGCTAACAAAAGGGTATACCCACTAACCATAAATATGTTTCCTGAATTAATGCGAATACGTTTAAGGCTCTACTGAAAAATTGCTTTTTTTGACTTATCCCCTTATGCCTTTTACCCACAGACATGTCATGTAAAAATTAATTTTCCTCCAAAAATCCTTGGTATTAAATAATTTTTACAGCTGCATACATTAATTTTTAAAACACTCTTTCAAATGTATTGAGTAAAGTAATTGGGACCGAATAAAATCATTTATTTATCAGTGAAGATGCTGTACAAATTATTTTTTTTTCATAACTAAAATGAAAAATTATTGTGTAAATATTACTTATAAAATTCGGTTACATTTTTTCGTTATACGTCTAACGTAAAAAATAATTAAATATTTGTTTAGAGTATTAAATAGTAGATCCACAAGGTAAAAAAATATTTAATCTTTAGCTTTTTAACAGAATTAAACATTACATGAGTCTTTAAGGCATTAACGTATTTTATGTACCACTTAATAGGATAAGAATTAAAAATAATAATTTGCACAGAAAAAATATACTTTTCGATAATTGCAATTATTTAAGTTACCAATTTTAACATGCATATTAAATACCAAAAAGGCGCGCCATATGAAACACTAGCTGACTAGTTGACATCCTAGCTTCCGAGCTTTGTTGATTTTTTTTAAATTGGCAAATACTGTTTGTATTACTTTTAAGTTTTTAAAAATGTCCCTGACTGCTATTTTTTATCAGTAAGTTTGTTTAAAAAACACTTAATTAGTCAAAAAGTTGTTTGTAACAACCTGAAAAATTTACGCCATTAAATTTTTAACAATTACAAATTTTGGTAACCATATAGATGCCGTCAACTCACCCGTCACAGATTTCCTTATACAAAATAATATTTAAAATTTAAGAAATCGTTAAATATCTCTGAAATTATTTATTTTGGGTGTAGGGAATAGTTACATCAATCAAAAGGTTTTTTAATTTACTATTTGATTATGTAAAAACTACTGGGTGTTACATTTAAAATTAAATGTTATTAACGTTTCAAATTAGCCTAATTTGCCATTGATTTGTTTAGGTAATTTATTAAAAAAATGTTAAAGAATTGACATGGAATCTTTTAAGCAATGTCTTAAGATCCCAAACATTCCACCCCCATATCAGTAAACCTAATGACAAAAAAGTAATAGGGAATTTTTTGTTGACACGCATTTGTCAAATTTTAGCTAAAAAAATTAATAACTCGAAAACTATTTACTTTAGGTATAGGACATGGTGTTGTAATTTTACTCAGAATTTTATGTAGAATTTAAAAATGTAAAAATATATGGGGTGCTCTTTTTGAAATAATAAAGTTGTTCCGATTAAGCCGGAAGTGGCAATTTGTTCAAAATACTTTCGAAAAATAGAATTAAATGGATTATAAACGCTTTTAAAATTTTAAATCGATATTTTTGTGTTCCCCCAGAAACTTCTAATGGACCACGAATGTGAAACACCCTGTATATAACGTCTTGGAATTGCATTTTTAATTATATTAAATTATTGTAACAAAGTATTCAAAAAACGTTGTGAAACATACAAGTCATGTTTTTCTGCGCCGCCTAATGTTTCAAAGAATTTTTTCTACGACCACTATGTAAAAGTCAAATTTCGTATTGGCATCCTTGCTTAGAAAATGAATCTTTTTATTGGCAAGGAAAAACACGAATGTAAAGTGACATTTCTGTGTGAAAAGTGACAGGTCTGTGTGAAAATAAATTGACAGCATCGTTTGACATTGAAATTGTTACAGTTCTTGGTGAACAATTTGCAAATGAATAATATTTTTTTATAAAACATCAGAATTACGCCTTAAAAAACAAATTTAAAGGCAGTATAACTTTACAATGACGTGCACCCATACAGATTTGTCCGATACTATATAATAGGCGTGTTAAGATTTACGAATGAAGTTTATGCAAAAACAAGAAATCTAAAAATAACCAAATTATTTGACAGTTATAATCTTTTTAGTTATTATAAAACCATTAACAGCGTATTTTAGTATAATGTTCATACAATTATTTTTAAAATTTAATATTCGCACCTGTACTTTTCCTTGATTTTCAAACGATTTAAATACTTTAAAGGATTTGAAACATGCAAGAAACAGATGTTGGATTCATTTGTAATTCTTGACAAATCTGTTATAACATCGTAAGTTACGATCTCTCTTCAAGCTATTTGAAGCGTTTTGATTCTTGTGACTTTAAAACGTAGGGATTCTCAAAAGTTGATTGAGAAAAGCAGGAAAAAAAATGTAAAAAAAATTTGGATGCGTAGATTCCAAATATGCAATACAAAAATTGCATGTCCCGAGTTTGGACTCCCAATCCTATTATAATTAATAAACTGTTAGGTTAGGTTATTTTTAACGTAAAGTTTAACTTTTTAATTAAAAATTGACCTTTTTTTAATGCAAGCCACCAATTACTGTTTATATTTTTAGGATTGTGAAGATCCAAACCCTTTAATAAGGGCGCTCGCAGTGCGTACTATGGGTTGCATAAGAGTCGACAAAATAACCGAATATTTGTGCGAACCTTTAAGAAAATGCCTAAAAGACGAAGATCCGTACGTACGAAAAACAGCTGCAGTTTGTGTCGCCAAACTGTACGACATTTCATCGGGTGAGTTTAACATTATCTCGACATAGAGACGTCACGTTTACAGACAACCTATATGGGCATTTTTTCAATTTAAAAAAATGGCTTTCCCACTGCATATTATTTTAAAAACAATATAATTTCTTAAACTTGTATTGGAATCTATTTGGTGCCAGTTAAATTATATTATAATCTCCTAAACTTTATATTCAAAATAATTGACAAAACTTAAAATGTCCCTTTCCCCAGTAACTTCTTCTAAAGGATGTTTTTTTTAGAGGTGGAGAACTTTAAATTGGCAACACTGTTTTCTGTGATAGCCGATTTGACAGTTCTAATCTAATCTATGTATGTTTCTCGGTTATTTTGAAGTAAGGTTGGTTTGGTAATTCATCATGAATAGACTCATGCCGGAACAACGTTTGCAAATTGTTAAAATTTATTTTGAAAAACACGGTTAAATTGGGAAAACACATCGGGCATTACGTGAGTTTTATGGTGCTCATAATCGTCCTTCAGGGCGATTAATTCAAGACACTATAGGCGCATTCATGCTCACCAAAATAAGAAATAAGATAAAAAGTTAAAACTGTGTAAATTAATGGTTGCGTTCATGCTCATGAAAATAAGGAATAAGAAATAGGAAATAAGAATAAAGATTAACAAATTCTAACTTTGGTTCTTATTCTTGCGTATAAAACTGCGCAAAGGCCAAAATGGGTCTGTGAATTATTTTGATGGGTTTTATGTGCTGGCCATGGAGCCATGGTGTTGGAAATCGCGTTGAGTGTCGCTGTCGATTGTTTACGTTTATAGCCAATATAATCCACTATAATAAAATATAATTGTGTGACAACATTTTTTATTTCTTATGTTATCAGCATGAACGATCAATCGCGATCTTATTTCTTATTTCTTATTCCTTATTCCTTATTCCTTATTCCTTATTCCTTATTTCTTATTTCTTATTCTTATTTCTTATTTTAAGTGAGCATGAATACGCCTTATGAATCGTTTTTGCAATTCCTTAACTCTAAACGATAATACGCATCCTGTAAGACGTCGTACACAAGCGATTGCCGGTGTGCAGCGTAGTGTTGAAGATGATCCAAATGTGTCAATTCGTCATCGTGCTCAACAATTAGACTTGTTAAACGATTTGACGCCATTCGATTATTTTCTTTGGCGCATGTCTACGCCAATAAACCAGAATCAATTTAGAACTAGGAAGCCAACATTCGACGCGTTATTGCCGAAATACAGCCTGATTTACTGCAAAGAGTGTGTGAAAAATGGACCTCTAGATTGCGCCTGTAGGCTCAGCCGCGGCGGCCACGTGCCCGAAATAATTCAAACATTAATGACAATAAATTAAAAAATTTCATGGATATTAAAAACATTTTGTGGTGTTTTATTCCAATTTAAAGCTCTCCGCCTCTAAAAAAACCCTTTATAATTTAATGTTGTCAAGTTCATGTTAAAATGTAATCATTGTCATCAATAGTATTTTTTTTATTCCTTTAAAAACTAAACTTTTCTAAATTTATGATTTTGCCTTTAAAAAAGTTTGTCTTAGTTTAAAAGGGTCAGGTGCTATTGTTAAAGAAAAATGCTGGATTTTTAAAAATAGCTGGAAAATCTTAAAATGCATTTAAATATTATATTATTCTTTCCTGTCCCTTGGCCAAATATATTTTTATGTTATTATTGATAGTTTTCTTGCTTTTAAAGAATAAATTAATACAGTATAAAAAAGAAATAATATGTATACTATAAAGTTTGCTTCACAATCAGGCACCGACAGACAGCCTGTTTCGGTCTTTTGGACTTCATCAGTGCCGGGTGTGGAAGAACACTCAAAACACACTGCCTCCGCCGCTATGAAGAAGCGACAGCAGTAAAATCTATTTAATAAATACGTTTGTTTTATGGTAACACTATATTTAAAACCATACATTTATTAGTTCATTTTTTTTGACAAAAGGAAGAAGGGACAAATTTATTAATATGTCTTGCACAATAATGACAAATCCATTTTATGTCTTGTTTTTTTAAAATAATCTTTAAGAGGTTCTGCAAGATGCTGTACCAAAAAAAAATTTGCCCGAAAAGGCTGAAACCCAAAAACAAACAAAAAATGCCCATCTTGGTTTATGTTACAAATAAAGTTTTTTGTCAACATTTGCGTTTTATTTCATGTTTTTTTAGGTTTGGTTGAAGACCAGGGTTTCTTGGAGCAACTTAAAGAGTTGCTAAGTGATTCTAACCCCATGGTTGTCGCCAATGCGGTAGCAGCTCTTTCTGAAATAAATGAAAGTAGTCCAACTGGACAACCATTGGTTGGTAAGTAATTTTTAATATACAGTGTGACCCATTTGTTTGCAACTCATTTCAAGCGCGCGAAACGCACTAATTACAAGATTGTTTTTATAAAAAAATGTAGATAATTTATTATATAATATTTTGGCATCAAAAATGTTAAAAATATTCTTTTTTTTATTAGGCTATACATTAAACAAAAAAAACGCAAGGAATATTTTATAAAAATAAAGACTCCGTACGCTTGAAATGGCCGCCCTGTAAAATCTTCATTTATTGTGCGATTTTAACCGGATTTATTTTAAAGTATAGATCTTGATAAACTGTATTTTGTGAGCAAAAAATGCCATATTTCTACAAAATACAAGGCCTACTATCTCAGTTTTTGAGAGTAAACTTCTAAGAATTTATATTGGTGATTTAAAAAAATTATATGCAAGAAATTGGATTCACCACCCCTCAAAACGACCCTATACCAAATTTAATCGAAACATTTTAAGTAGGAACGATTTTGGGGCCAAATTAAAAATGATCAAAAATAACTATGTATTTACAAAAATTTATTAATTATTATTTATAAATATAAATATTAAATATTTATAAATATTCCTATGTTTGGTTTTAACAAATAAAAATAGAAATAGAGAATTCAAGAAATTCTCTACAATTAGAGTTTCGTTCACCTACAAGCCTGAGCAGCCATTACTCCAGAACAAATAAGAAAGTGTATTGAAATAAATGGTAGATTAGTAGAGGTGACAAAAATCTAATTGTAGAGAGTATTTTGAATTCTCTATTTTTTGTTTCATTGTTGTTTTAAGTTTCTAATGCGTTTTTTATTTGTTAAACCTAAGCCTACAAATATTTATACAATTTTTTTTTAATTGGTAATATGAATTCTAAAAAAGTTTACTCTCAAAAACTTATATAGTAGGCAGTGGCGTAGCTAGCCTCGAGGGGGCCCCGTATCAAAAATCTGGTAGGGGCCCTTATACGGGAAAAGCTGCTGGCAAAAAAATTTCTGGGTGTCACGCCCAAAGTCTATTTTGGGCAAAAAAATTTTTTTTTAGGGTTTCATTTTTTTGCATTTGCTTTTTATGTACAGGCAAATTTAAAAATTTGGTCTGGTTTTAGACATTTACCGTTCTTCAACATCTTTTAAAAGGTTTCTATTTTAAAATAATGACAAGTCATTTGAAATAATTGTAATGCTAATAATTATTTCTAATTTGCTATTAGTATTAGTATGCGGCGCAGAGCACAGAACAATATGCGCAGACTGCGCCGCAGAAAACGCATAGCGGAAGGGTGCGGGCAGAAACAATTTGTTGGAACAGAAGGGTATTCAGGAAAATTTTAACTTAATAAATCGAAGTATAAACAATTAAATATATTTATTATAATAATATATTTATTATATTATATAACAGGGTACCCACTCACCTGGAAAACAGGGAAAACCTGAAAATGTCAGAGAAATTAAATATTAGTAAAAAAGTCAGGGAAAAGTCAGGGAATTTGCTGAATTTTACGAAAAGTCAGGGAATTTAACAAATTTTTACGAAAAGTCAGGGAATTTAACTAATTTTTCTTGATTTTTCCGAAAATTGTTTCTATTTTTATTACCGGCCGAAGATTATTTTTTACAAATAATATAGCCGGGCATTAAAACTAAAATAAATCATTTGCGCAAATACTATAATATAAAATGTATGACCTTATAAACCAAGTTTGTTTCCTTTCAATTTTTTTATGAATGTCCTGTTTAATTTTTTTATTATATTTTAATAAATGTTAAAAAAAATGTAAAAAGAAAAATAAAATATATTTTAACTTTACATGTACTATGCTCCACACCTCAAATTCCCACCAAGTGACCACGTACGGAACGCAGTCTTTTGAAAATTTGGCATTTAAGGCTTTTCAGGTTATGTATCTGTCAAAGTATAGTCAACGAAAGAAATAATATTATGTTTAGGAGTTAAAAATGTATGTATCTTTATAACATTAGAATAACAATGGATGGTTTAAGAATTTAAGAATATAAATACTGCATTTAATGAAATTCCAAAGTGTATGGTGCCAAATAAGTAATATTTTTGTGCATTTGGTCCAAATATCTGGTTTTCTCCATGAAATAATTTTAACTAAACAGCATTTATTTAAAAAAATCTAGCTTCTCTATTATGGAATAAGAATATCTGTATTAAAGGTAGGTTAATATATTATAACAAAAATATCATCTAATTTTGTAATTTTAAGGTTAGAAAAATTTATTTTGACCAAAATAAATAAGTATTTTGGATTATTTAAAAGACTGTATAATATGGTATTTAAAATTGTGGTAGTTTTTCTTATCCAGCTTAAAGTGTACCTACATAAAGTTTTGTCAATACAAATAGTTAAAAAGCTTCGACTGAATTTGATCTACATTAAAAAATCATTATAACTTTAAAAATGTTAATAAATCACATGTCATGGGAGTATTAAATATTTTCACATTGCAAGTTTCTCTAAAAATTGTTTGTTTTCTTATAATCTACATAACTTAAAGTAGGTATGCCGAGAGGTATGCACAAGTTTTGTCATTAGAAGTATAAGACAATTATTTAGTATACCTATATTTATTTATGACCAAATTAACACACTCTTCCAAATAATCCACTTATTTATTTTGGTCAAAATAGATTTTTCTAACCTTAAAATACAAAATTAGATTAAATTTTTTGTTCTAATACATTAACCTACCTTTGATATATCAAATACAGATATTCTTATTTCATAATAGAGAAGTTAGATTTTTTTTAAATAAATTCTGTTTAGTTAAAACTATTTTATGGAGAAATGTAGACCCAATGCAAAAAAATATCACTTATATTGCACCTTACACTTTGGAATTTCATTAAATGCAGTATTTATATGCGTAAATTCTTAAACCAACCATATATTTAAACTCAGCCATATTAAGCATATTTAACACTCATGCACTGTACCATCATCTGCATATGCACAAGCATATGCAGATGATGGTACAGTCCTAATCAGAGGAGGCATTCTAGGTGTAGTCTGCGACAGAATGCAGACAGCATGCAGAATAATAGAAAATTGGTCCAAAGAAAACGGTCTGTCGGTTAACCCAACAAAAACTGACATGATTCTTTTTACCAAACGAAGGAAGATACAGGACTTCAGGGCACCAGCCATGTATGGAAGACCTCTTGAGATTACTGAAGAGGTCAAGTACCTAGGTGTTACCCTAGATAGGAAGTTAAGTTGGAAATCACACGTTGACAGAGTTGTTGACAAATCGATTGCAACTTTCTGGCAGCTGCGCCGGGTGGTGGGAAAACGCTGGGGAGTAAATCCCAAAGTCCTTCACTGGATTTATACTGCTGTCATCAGACCGCGGATACATTATGGATCAGTGGTCTGGTGGCGCAGTGTGAGCAAAACCACCATCGCTCAAAAATTGAGCAAGATACAGAGACTGGCATGTCTCGGTATCACAGGCGCAATGAGGACTACTCCAACGACGGCATTAGAGGCCTTGCTGAGCTTGCCTAATCTTTCCCTCTGGATAAAGAGAGAAGCAATGGCGAGCCATTTAAGGATGAGGGATGCCAACAATTGGTTAGGAAAAGGAATAACTTATGGTCATGAGGGCATCGCGGATATGGCTGAGAGGGAGGTCCCAATTAGCAGTATTAGAACGATGCCAGCAAAAGACCGCCTAAGTTTAAAAAAGAAGTTTTCCCTCACGATACCAACAAGAGAGCAGTGGGAGAAAAAGGATGTACACTTTGCACAAAATGCACTAGTGTGCTACACTGATGGCTCTCGTATGGCGAGTACACTGTCTTCAGGGGCAGGTTTCTGCGTGGAGGACAGGGATATCCAAAGGAGCTACCCGCTCGGAGGATATACCACTGTCTTTCAAGCGGAAGTGTTTGCCATACTTGAGGTTGCAAACTGTGAGGATATAAGAACAGGGAGTGAGACAGATATATATATCTGCTCAGATAGCCAAGCAGCTCTGAAAGCGCTTTGGGCAGCGAGAACCACATCGAAGTTGGTTCAAGAGTGTGAGGAAGCGCTGGAAAAGCTAGCAAGTACAAAAAGAGTGCATCTCGTATGGGTACCAGGTCATAGTGGGGTTGAGGGTAACGAACGGGCTGATGAGTTGGCCAGATTGGGATCTGAAACCCCCTGTGTAGGACCCGAACCAATTTTTGGAATCACGAGAAAGCAGGTCAAATCAGCCCTAAATAATTGGGCTGATAAAAGAGCGAATGAAAGCTGGAGAAGAAGCGGTGGCTGTAGGCAGACCAGGGATTTTCTGGTCACCCTAAGCAAACCCAAATCCATCTGGCTTCTAGGTAGAAGCCGAACCTCCTTGGGCCCACTTGTGAATATACTCACAGGTCATGGCCTAAGGAAACACCTCACAAGAATAGGGGCTGAAACCAGCCCCTCCTGTACCCAGTGCGGAAGGGAGGATGAAACCTCCTTTCACTTCCTGGGACAATGTGAGGCCCTCGGCAGACTAAGGTATAAAATCTTTGGAGTGATGACACTCCAAAGGGAAGAGTTGGCCTCTCTTGCCTGGCAGGATATCCTGACCTTTATAAGAAGGTCTGGAAGATTCGAAAGGGCTGGTATGGGCGAAGAGGAAGATGAGGAGTAGTCTGGTTGGTTTAGGAGGGGCAGATAAAAAGGACCATGGAGTCTAATTGTCAGGCTTCGAGCCTACCCAACCGTACTACTACTACTAACACTCATGCACCTTTAAAAACCGTTCGTGTAAATAAGCCCCCTGCTCCCTGGCTAACTACTACATTAAAACTTATTTTGAAGGAAAAACATAAGGCACTGCAATTGTATAATATAAATAAGACTAGACAGAATTGGAATCATTACAAAGCTATGCGAAATTTTGCTTTAGCCTCGGAAAGAAGGGAAAAATCGGCATATCTAGAATATCTTAGAGTCCATAAACGTTCTAAGGACCTTTGGAAAAGTTTAAATGACCTTGCAGTTACCTGTAAAAATAAACCAGGTTTGCCTGATCATCTAAGTAACCCGTCTATTATAAATAACTATTTCATGTCAGTTTACAATACAACTGATGTAAATCCAGAAGTTATAAACTTTTACACCAACAACAAGTATAAAGACAATATATTCTTTTGTTTTTCTCTTGTTGAGTGTAGTTATGTCTATAAAATAATAGCAAAATTAAATTCAAATGCCTGTGGCACAGATAATATATATACAAAAAAGTTTATATACAAAAGTGCTCTTTTAGTTCCACCCTTACTTCTTAAGAAGTCCCATAAGCCAACTGAATGGCTTGTGCGGGTTAGGGGTAGGAACGGACCGCGGGCTTAACGTCCCCTCCGAAGGACTAATACACAATAGGACAAACACAAATAAACAGCCATACCCCTGGTGGGATTCGAACCCACGACCTCCGGCTTGTAGTCAGCATGCACTAGACCACTAGACCACCGTCGGCGATAAAGAATCCATCTGATTTGTCGGATCTTAGGCCTATTAGTTTGTTGCCAGTATTATCCAAAATCCTTGAAAAAATTGTAAATATCCAAATTGTTGAATATCTAAACAAAAATAAAATTATTCCTGCACATCAATCGGGCTTTCGTAAAAGTCACAGTACATGTCTTTTGGACCTTACTGATAATATTTTTAAAGCCATGGACAAGAAACAGGCCGCGGTCTTGGTCTCCTTAGACTATTCAAAAGCCTTCGACAAAATAAGTCACTCCCTTCTTTGTTCCAAGCTGATTTATTATGGCCTTGATCAAGTTTCTTGTAAGTTTTTTAATTCATATATCTAACTAAAAGATCCCAAAAAGTACGTATCGGAAATACGTATTCGCTATCCTGCTGTGTACCATCTGGAGTTCCACAAGGCTCTATACTTGGACCTTTACTTTTTATTTTATATACCGCTGATCTATTTAATCAAACCAAATATGCACATGTTCAAGCTTATGCGGATGATACACAAATTTTATACTGCTTTGACCCATGTGACATACTAAACACAAACCAAAAAATAAATGAAGACCTTGACTCCCTACAGCTATTTTCAGAAAAACATAATCTTAACGTTAATCCAAAAAAATCTGTTTCCATGATATTTTGTTCTAAAAATCATCGCAAAGAATTAAAAGAAAATCCTAAATTTTTTATAAATAATGAGAAAATAAAATTCTTAGAAGAGGCTAAAAATTTGGGTGTTATAATCGATGAAAATCTACGCTTTACCAGTCATGTCAAAAACCTTTTGCAAAAAACATATCTACGCCTTAAATTGCTTTATAGTAACAAACATATTTTAAACTTTAAAATGCGCAAAAAATTGACAGAAAGCCTAGTTCTTCCTATATTTAACTATTGCAATATTTTGTACTACCCATGTCTAGACCTGCACCCCAAAACTTGTATACAACGGATCCAAAACACCTGTGTCAGATTTATCTATAATCTTAGAAAATATGACCATGTAACAGCCAAATTAGCAGCACTAGGATGGTTAAATATAAGTAAAATTGTACAGTTTCATTATCTAACTTTTGTACATAGAATTCTATTAACTTCCACCCCTTCATACTTAAGAGAAAAATTAATTTTTAGACATAACATTCACAATCGCCAAACTCGACATCTTAACCTACTAACATTACCTAAACACTACGGCTTTATTTACTCGCTCTTTCTCTTTCAATGCAGTAATGTATTATAACGCAATTGACAATCATTTAAAGTCTATGTCTCTATATAAATTTAGGAAACATGCAAGAGCTTCTTTACTTATTTAATTTTTTTATTGTTTTTTATTTTTATTTTTTTTTATATAGAATTAGGTGTAATACTTTTTGTTTTTGCCCATTGTTATTTTTCACGTTGACAACAAGAAATATGTAATTATTTTTTTATTTTGTTTATATATATTTTTTTTGTAATACTATTTAACACCAATTTATTCATCACACACGGTTAAGTGTAAGAGTAGCCTTAGGCTAAACTTCGCCGTATGTGCCGCCTACTTACAATATATATTGAAATATATATTGTAATATTATTGTAATAATTTTACTTTAAATAAAGACGATTATTATTATTATTATTATTATATAAATATGATTTCTTTCATTGACTATACTTTGACAAATACATAACCTGAAAAGCCTTAAATGCCAAATTTTCAAAAGACTGCGTTCCGTACTTGGTTACGTGGTGGGACTTTGAGGTTTGGAGCATAGTACCTTTAATCATTGCTGGAAATTAATGAAAATTGGTCTGGAAAACCTGGAAAAGTCAGGGAATTTTGTTTTATTTTCTTGGTGGGAACCCTGTATAATAATAATATATTATTATATTAATATTATTTATTTATTTAATTTCATGCCTCAATTTTTTTAACATGTGGGTAATATGTTTTTTGCTTACGCATGTCGAAACCAATCGGGCCCCTCCCCTAGCCGGGGGCCCCGTATTATTGATACGACTGATACCGCGGTAGCTACGCCCCTGATAGTAGGCCTTGTATTTTGTAAAAATTTGGTGTTTTTTGCTCCAAAAATGGAGTTTGTCTAGATCTTCACTTTAAAAGAAATGTTGTTTTTTAGAGCTCAGTACAAGTACAATAAACAAACTTTTGACTGCTTTGAACGAATGTACGGAATGGGGACAAGTTTTCATCCTTGATTCTTTGTCAAATTACACTCCCAGAGATGAAAGGGAAGCTCAAAGCATTTGCGAAAGAATTACCCCACGATTGGCCCATGCAAATGCTGCTGTAGTCCTGTCAGCTGTCAAGGTTTTAATAAAAATGATGGAGATATTGGCCGGTAAGTTGTTTTTTAAATTTTAGCCATTAGATTTTTTTTGTAAAATTACGTTAGAAAATCGATCTGTAGGTACAAGCATAGTGACGATTTATTTTATGAAAAATAAGTTTAAGAAGGAATTTTGGGGAAAAAAGTGCAATTTGGCCAATTATTTATGAGTTATGAGCGTTTAAAACAAAATTTACCTTATTTTTTAAAGTGGCTTAATAAAAAAAATCATGAAGGCTAATCTTAACCAGTACAAAATTGGTTTGGAATGCCTCATAATATGAGGCATATTATGTTACTAAATCTTATAACATTTTTAGGTGATGTTGAGTTTTGTAATACTCTGAGCAAAAAATTGGCCCCACCTTTGGTTACACTGCTCAGTTCTGAGCCTGAAGTTCAGTATGTTGCTTTGAGAAATATTAACTTGATTGTGCAAAAGAAACCTGACATTTTGAAACATGAAATGAAGGTGAGTTGGAAAAAATCTATTTTAGGTATTATAAAATGTTTTTTGAACTCATCTATGTTCCGACCTTAAATAACTTTTTAATTATTATAACATTTTTAAATTTGTTTTTAATCTTAAAAGGAATTTTTTATGTAAATTTAACCTCTTTGAAGCAGGGTTGACATTTTTAAAACAGAATGTTTTAAACAATTAATTTAAACATGTTTTAAACAAGATTTTTTATAATATATCTTATCTTAAGTGGGTACTTATTATAAATTCAATGGTGCCACAATAAAAACAGGGTTGCCCATCGAAAACAGTCCAGCAAGGTTTACAGCTTTGTATGTAAAAAGTTACATTGTAGTTCAGTAAAGTATATGGGTCCGAAGAGTTTTTTTATTTTTACATACAAAGCAGTAAACCTAGCTGGACTGTTTTCGATGGGCCATTTGCATTTTGCATTTGAAAAACAAGTTATGTATATTTAAAACAATTTGTGTCCAGGGTTAGCATGTTTAAAATATTTAAACGTTTTAAACAGTTTAAAACAAAGTGCTTAAAAACAAAGAAAAAAAACTAACCATAAAAAACATACCTAAAAACGCAGTGACTACGTGCTCGCTAGTGACGTAATGTATAAAATTCGTCATAAACTGCCGTGCCGCTTAATTTAAAATTGGCGGCACCCCCGTATTGACTCCTCTGCTTGTAGTATGAAAACGAATGTTCCTAATACATGTATATAAACAATACTTACCAAATTTAAATAAAATAGGTTAGTAGAAATTAATTTTTTTCAAAAAAATATATGCAACTTCAACACCTTGTATTTCTGAAACTGTTGAGTTTTCGATATAAGTTTTTTATTGATTCTCAATTTATTAAAGGATCCTTTTGGACCACCCTGTATATAAAGAGAGTAAGATTTTAATCGGGAACATTCATTAGTCAATAGAACTCGCAAAAACAAAAAGAAATGTTTTAAAGCTTTGTTTTCGAGATACAGGGTGGTAAAATTATTTTAAAAATATTTATAATAATAATAATGCTTTATTGAACTAAAACCAAGTTCAAAGGCTATTGACCGTAGTCCTTCAGCCTAAAAATATTTATTTTTATAAAAATTTCAAAAACTTCTGGGGCGAATTTAATAAAAAAAATTCAGGTTTTTAGAAATTGGCAAAGTGCTTAATTTACTGTATTTTAATTTAATAATTTTGGTACGAACCCTACTGATTTTTTACAAAAATTTTAAAAACTTCTGGGGCGAATTTAATAAAAAAATTCAGGTTTTTAGCAATTGGTAAAGTGCTTAATTTACTGTATTTTAATTTAATAATAAAATTTTGGTACGCACCCTACTGATTTTTTACAAGTTTAATCAAAGAACTTTGAGTTAAGCCACAAAACAGTAAATCCGCGGGAAAAAAATGCTACTTTTTTGCGATAAAAAATCTCCGCTTGTTTTTCTTATGACTCCCTTGACTTTTACTAAGACGATATTATTTTTGGTTTAAGCAATTAAAAATACAACTTTTGTCTCCTGCATTTTTTTCTACCTTGTTTAATCATTAAGAATAAAACAAAATTCGTTTATTTGCTCGCCCCTTACAAGCTTACAAGTTCATATACATAAATTTGTTTTCCTATTTTTGCAAGTTCGATTACGAAGTTTTCCCGAATAAAATCCGAGACACACCCTGTAAACATGTAAACAGGTACAATTTATTATTAAATTATTGATTTTAAATTAAGCGAAACTGCGGTAATGACTAGCGTGCCCGTAAAAAATAAATTGCAGTCTAACGTGCAACTAGTCACTTCACCTAAAAAACTGTTTTAAACATAAAAATTCGACCATCTTTATCTTTTCAGGTTTTCTTCGTCAAATACAACGACCCAATCTACGTAAAACTCGAAAAACTCGACATCATGATCCGCTTGGCGTCTCAAGCCAACATCGCTCAAGTTTTGAGCGAGCTCAAAGAGTACGCAACCGAGGTCGATGTCGATTTCGTGCGCAAAGCCGTGCGCGCAATCGGAAGATGCGCTATAAAAGTTGAACCTTCAGCCGAAAGATGCGTATCGACTTTGCTGGATTTAATTCAAACCAAGGTTAATTACGTTGTGCAAGAAGCCATTGTGGTGATTAAGGATATATTCAGGTGAGTGAAAGTGTTTTATCGTTTTTTTATCTTGATAGGTAGGTAGGTACATATCAAGATAAGTGTACACTGAGCAACATACTCAAATATTTAAATTAAATTAACAGTTTTGGGTGATTTTACTATAAATTTAAGTATACTTTACTGATCATAGAGCTTAAAATAAGAAAAGCTCTTGCTTATGAAGTATAAAAATAACACTTTTTTATTCTTTACTTAGATTTTGTAATTCATTTACCTCTGGGTCATGTCCCCAGATATAGTTCCTATGTTTCATGTATACGTTTGTCCGTTGTCCGTTTGTCCTCTTTTTAATAAAATCGTCCGACAAGAAATGTTCATGCGTCCGTTTTTTAATGACGCTTAACGGATTGATTTGGCAACAAATAGAAATTAAGGGCCAGTATATTCACTTCACTAAATTTACCTAATAATAATAATTGTCATAGTTACAAATTGTCTTAGTCTTATAATTAGGACAACAATTGTAACTTTAACTGTTATCTGACTAATAAATTTGAAGGTAGGTAAATATACTATATAAAAAGAATATACTAGCCTTAATGTACATTAAAATGTATAGTTTTAAAAAAGCAGGTCCTTTTGGTTCTGGTTTTAATATTTTTTTGTTTGTCTTTTCTTTTAACCGTTCTTCTTATTAAATAACATTAGAATATAACAGTAGAACATTTTTAACATAACAAACGTAAATACTCCGTTTTACAATCATAATTAAAAAAATATTAAAAGATTTGAAAATAACTTATCTTAAAATAACTTTAGGCGTCAAAAACATATGTGTAGTGACGGATGAGTTAAAATTATTTTAACTTTCTCTAACCTTTATAATCTGTGTCTCTAACTTGACGGACCGATGAAATGTCATAATTTTCGAATTATTGGACCAATAAGAGCGCTCTCGGATACGGATACATGAAAATTAAGCTTAATTATATTTATGTATGTATATTAGGTTGTCCGTTATTTACCAACTAAATTTTTAGTTAATGACCTAAAAAAATTATCAGACTTATATAAGTCTTTAATATTCATATTAAACCTTGCCACAAAGACGATACACTTCCCATTTAAATAACATAGGGTTTCGGTACGTTTTACATTTAATTTTATTTCTCCCGAGCAAGTTAATATATAGCAATAAGAGAGATATTTTTATAAGAAATTAAACGCTGTACAAAAAAGCTTTCCTATGATTTTTTGATAAATTTACTGCTTTAAAAGTTAAAGTTAAACTTATAGTAATTTTTTTAATTTGACTGCAAAATTATTATTTTTATACAATTATTGACAAAATATTATCAAAACTTTAAAAACTCATAAGCTTTCAGAACTTACTGTTTTTATATTTTTCTTTATTATATTTTTTATTTTAACTATAAAATTTATTGTATTCCCAAGTTTAAACCTCACCTCCATGGTCAGGAATGTTTATTTAAATAAAAGAATCCAAGAGGTAGTAGGAAGGCGGAAGGAGACATTGTTTGGGAGTCAATTATCTCCTTCCTGTTACCACGTGTAAGTACTTTTTAAGGTGATAAAAATCATTTTTTTTTTAATTAACTTTATAATTCACGATGATTTATATAAAACTTAAATTTAAAAGTAAGAAAAATATTTCAAAAAGCGTATAGGATTATCACTTCCGTTACTAAATTAGATGTGAGGTATATTTCATGGAAGTGTATTATGATACAAACCCAACCCAATCCAAAAAATCATGCGTCAGTCGTTAGTTTTTTATTTGACGAAAGTACAACACGTTTCCAATGCCGACATTTATTAAGTAACTAGGGATATGGCAAAACAATATGATTACCCAGACAGCCATACCAGGTCAAAACTTGGCCAGGAATTGCCCTTTTGCCTTTGGAAAAGTTTTGCCAATAAATGTACAAGATATGACTATATAGTTTCTTGTGCAATCGCGATGGCCAACAATAATCGATCAAATCGTGCCCAATAAAATGCAAAACGGTTTGGTTAGGCTAGGTAGGTTACCGTTGGTATAATTTTGGGAATGTTTGGGCATGATGACATAATTTTAACGTGTATTTGGGCAAGTATTAGCCATTTTATTGGCAAATATCTGAAAAAGTCGTGAGTATTTAATATATGTATATTAATTATAAATGGAAGAATATTACAATTAAAAAAGAAACTTTGAAGCTTTAAAGAAAATTAATTTAATTTCTTTTTTGAAAACTGTTGTAGGTATATATGAGTACATTAGATGCAAAACTCGGTTTTTGCACATTTAAAAAAAATATATATTTTATCTTATTTATGATCATAACTGCACTGCCCACAGCATAACTAAGTAAACCAGATGCATAAGTTAATATTTGTAGAATAAAATACATTTATAAACTTACCGCAGCTGCAAAACTGGGTATTTGTCGGATGCAAAACTCGGTATTTGACCAATCACCAATCACGTCGCTAGTATACGCATTAACTGACGGCATAACAATCACCTGATTAATTGTTATTTTTTTGGTATTTGCACTTTTCACTTGCAAAACTTGGTCTTTGAACGAGGAAGATGCAAAACTATGTTTTTAAATCTTTTGATTTCAATTATTTACTAAACTACTTAATTTTAAAGGACTTTTTTTTTACTTTTTTGAATAAGAAATGATGCAAAAGCACGTCTATACGATTTTTGTATTTTTTTTTTCAAATATGACCTTATGAGCGGTTTTTCGTGTTTTTCTTAAAATCACTTATCCTGCAAATACAGAGTTGTGCATCTAATGTATATACTATAGTACCTACTCAAAATTTAAAGTTGTTTAATATTTAACAAACGTTTATAAACTGCAAAGATTTTTTTAACTTACATACAAGCACGTTTTACACTACTTTTTGCACACATAACAAATCCCAATTGTTTAAATATACCCACCTACACAGAAAGTTAGAATTTTATTTTACCCACAGAGTGCTGTCAACTGCTGTTTAACCTAAATATGGTTTTATTTACATAGTCGCTATGCGCCAATTGTTGCTAAGTTTCTACCAATATGCATTAGAAACAGTTTCCCAATTTTAGACCAATCTTCGTTACAAACAAAGTTGGCCAACAATAATTATATTTAAGTCTTTATTTCATATTGAGCTATTCCGTTTTAAAATGAATACCATAGAATATGTCAATTATTGGTCAAACGTGACTAGAATAACAACTCATATGTGCATATAAACGCCTTATTATAAAATATCATACGCCAAACTTGGTTGGAACCACAATCCACACAACAAGGTATGTTCTATCTCGTTTCGCGCATACTAAAAATCAGTGTTGCCAACAGTCTATTGTGAAAAGTCTCAACCAAGCTCTTTAAAAGTCGCCAGAAATCGCTAAATTATTTGGCACTTAAAAATCGCCAGATGTCGCAAATTTAAAAAAGAGAAAAAAAAGTTTAATGTGGTTGCAAAATTTTAAACCGAATTGATCTTTCATAAAGAAAGAATTTTAACGTGGTTGTAGTAAAGGATACTAGAAAATGGCATTATCTTATGATTACACAAAAATAATTAATAATTATAATTGTTAACAAATATTTTATTTAAATAACATAACATAAATCATTAAAAAATCAAGTCATTCTAAAATAAGAAAAATAAATAAAATATATAAAAATAAATAATTCTTAAGGTAGGTAAATAAAAAAATTTAAAAAAAATTAGTTTATTAATAAATTTTCCTCGAAATTTTCAAGAAATTCAGTCGATTTTGCATCGTCATTAATATAAGCCTGGAAAGTGCCAAAATCCCTTAGGATTTTTCATAACACAGATTATAAAAGAATAAATAAATAATGGGATTTGACAATTGCCCGGCTGCAGATATTTTTTCCTTAACCAACGCGTTGCAACGTCCCGAGTCCGCCCGCTTGCCGCGGACTCGCGAGTCCCGCTGCTTTACCGAGTCATCTCGCACTTGCGAACTCAGTGACTAACGTCTAGGTACAGAAAAATTGCGAAGCTTCGAAACCAACCCAAACGCAACAACCCAACCAAACCGACCCCGCCCCATTCTTTAAAATTCTTTAAAAATAAAATAAAAAAAGTTGTAGAGGCACCAAGAATCGAACCCCGTATCTCTCGCATGCAAAGCAGGCGCCCTTCCATCGAGCTACCGACCTTATTGTAAAAATCGTATCGCACGAAAAATAATACCGATTTACAGTGTGACAGCGTGACTCGGCAAGCGGGCGGACTCAGGACGTTGGTTAAGGATAAAATATCTGCTGCCCGGCTATTTTTCAGTTTTTGACATTTGACGGATGACGTACGGATGCGTCGTTGCCAAGTTGGCCATGCCAACGTAACAAATTTTAATTTGAAATTTTTTAAACTAGAAATTATTTGTTTTGTTGAAAAACAAATTTCATTATCAATGTTAAAATGTCTCCAAAAATGTCGCCAACACAATGTGAAAAACGCTAGGTTTGAGACACGTCGCAAATCATAAAAAAATGTCTCAAATGGTTACCTCAAAACGCTGGATCTAGCGACAAAGTCGCTAAGTTGGCAACGCTGCTAAAAATCACTGCAATACTGCACAGAATCTAACGGCGACCATTTTTATGTTGTTTACAATTCTTGTGCTTTGGGTTTGTGCTGTTTATACAGATTAATAATCGTTTTAATCGTTATGTTTCTTACAGACGCTTTTGTAAGCCTCAAATGAGGCTGTAAAAAATAAATAGGGCTGTCATCAAACTGTCAAATTTCAATTTTAAGGTTAATTTACTATAACCCACAAATTAACCTTAAAATTTACATTTGACAGTTTCATGATAGCCCTGATAGAATAAGGTTTATTTTTTACTAAAGAGGCGTAAATGGTTGCCCTTAGCACTTTATTTGAGGCTTACAAGTGCTTCTGTAAGAAACAAAACGTTTAAAACGATTAGTAACCTGTATAAACAGGACAAACCCAAAGCACAAGAATTTTAAACATAAAACTGGCC